TTTCAATGTTACTGTTACCAACATACAGCCTAAATATATAAAAATAATAGAATCTGAAGCGAGATTATGTATCAAATATTTTTCTTTTATACATTTTCAAGACAGAATAGTCAACTCAAACACGCCTGAACCTAAAAAGGTGTACTTGACTTTCTCTTTTCGATGAAATTATTGCCTATTTTTTTTTTTTTTTTCCAAAAAACTATCACCAGAGGCAGAGATGCAAATTGATGCTTTAAAAAGATAAATCTATTATCTTTGTTTGGAATTTTTTTCTGCGGAATATATGCTTATGCACAAAAAAGATCCACATGTATTTGCACCTACCACAATCGACTGTTTTGTGAAAATTTGTCTATGATTTAAAATTTTACAAATATCTCGAAGCTCAATTCAATAATTTAAGTAAAAACACATACATAAGATGCATAAAATCCTAAATTAGACACATTCATTAAACTTTTAACAGTTTAAAGCCCATAGAAACAGATGTAAACAATTCAAATTTACCAACTTTGCCATTTTTACCTTCTCTAACATGTCTAACAAAGAGTTCCATTTCTTTTGTTTAATTTCAACTGGGTTTCCACCTGAAGCAATCTCTATCAGACGAATGGGACGGGCATTTTCATAATTTCATGAAGTGTGACTTATTTCTATTCCAAAAAAAATTAATGACTAAGCACTCAAAAACTGCAATGAAATAGGCCTAGTTATTTTTTTAAAAATAGAAGAAAAAGTTATGAGATCGAATCTTTCTTCTTATTATTCATTCACAAATTCATGATTTACCATTTAAATTATTATCCATAAGTATAAGCTTCTTTTTTACAATATGAGTCCATTCAGTAGAACCTGAATAGAATATATACATGTAGAATAAGAGAAAAAAATATAGGTATTTAGTTTAATTGATAAACATAACCACAAACATGACAAAAGAAAACCAATTTGCTTTTATTTCAAATTATGAATAATTTACATTGAGATAGCTTTGATTATTATTTCTTTTGTATAAAATATATAGAAAAAAATATTGCAAGGGAATTCAACATTAGATTTGGCATTATAACCCTTCTAGATCCAGTATGTGTGCATATTTTGGCTAGCCCTGGCCTTTAAGCAGTAGAAATGTATTTCTGTGTTAGCATTATTCAATTAAAGCAGTAAAATCATATACCAATAGTATTAAAGTAACTCATAGGATAATATACATGATATATATTATGTCCCAGAGTAACTGCAAAGCCCTATATCAGTCCAGGAATTGTTTTGAAAATGATACAATATGTTTACCTGAAAGATTTACAAATATCTGTAGTATAAAAATATAATTAATTATATATATATTTAACAATTACTTTCATTATGTTCACTGTCTATAATCATGATAATAGCATATGGTCCTAAAGTAAGTGCCAACAAAGGAATGTAACTCGTAAATAACTATCAGAACTGCTTCATCAAAAATTTTGACAGATCGAAGTGGCACATTTGAGTACTACAGCATATTAAGTGGCACAAATTTGACACAGACCAGTTCATAAAAAGCCCTATCACATTATTTAAATCAAATCAGCAAGTTTATTCAAAACAATTGTAACATACAGCATGCCTTGAAATGATTTAATATGCCTTTTTGAAGGAAACAGATTCGTTTCAGTTAAACAAAAATGACCAAAAATATTCCCAAATACATGTATGGTAGTAACATGACTTTCATTGGTGTCTTTAGAAATGGGGTCAAACTGGGTCAGTTTTCTGACTGTCAAAGTGGTTGTTCAACTCTTGTCAAGAGTTTAAAATTATTTAAACAGTAGACTTGGTTAAATAGTCGTTCTTTGTATATCTTATATATAAGATCTATTTTGTTACATCTTGTGATCTGTTTATTTGGCAATCGCCAATGGCAGTCAGCAGGGTTTAAGAACATCAGTTGTTCGACCTGCTAGTCAAATGTGTTTTGTTAAAATATACTTTTTTACTCATTTGGTCTTTTGGAAAATATTGTTTGTGCTGTATTTAGACCCCTCTACCAAGAAATTTGTTTTGCATGCACATGTATAAAAATTGCGGTTTTTATCCAACGCAATCATAGGTTTGAACGTTGTTTTCAATTTAGACTTGTTTATATTTGTATATTGTATATTCTAGGAGAATTTTATTACTTCAATGATACATATTAAGCTGATTCAATACAGTAATGTTATTAATAAGCAACTCTTATAGTTTGGAAAACTGACACTTATTTGTCTCATTTTTGTATGTTTTTGAAAAAAGTGTGTTACATGTATATCAACTTTGATATCAAAACAGAGCTCATATCAAATTGTATTCAATTGTATAAGATACTGATAAAATACTACCATAACTTCATATCAACTGCATAATAAAACTGTTGACATTATAGTATAATGCAAATGTTGAAATCAAAATGACATTACTATAACATGTTAACTATTCATCTACATGTGCATCTGTTATAAAAAATGGACTTCAACAAATTAAAAGCTACTAGGCCAAACAGGTAACATTACAAATTTCTGGTTAGGGGAGTTACTGTATACAAGAGGGTCTGGATGGGGTCTAGAGAATAATGGACGAAAAAAGTAAAAGAATAGAGAAAAACAGACCAAAAAAAATGGTGAATAATGGGGTGCTAAAATATAAAGAATGGAGGACAATGGACAAAGAATATACAGAATAAAGAAAAATGGCCTCATAAATTAAAGAATACAGACATTGACAGAAATGAAGAACCTCCCATCCAGACCCTCAATACAAACCACCAACAGAAATGAAAAGATGTCCAGAGCTCCAGATAAGCTGCGTATTTGCGTGATCACGCAATACAAATAATTAAAAACCCAATGCATTTGCCCATTGCAGGGTTCAATAACCCAATTAATTCAAAGGAAAACCCAATAATATGCCAAAACCATGAGTTCTTAACTCTTTTATTCGCTATCGTTTGCGTTATTTACCCTTATCTGATTACAGTCGTCGCGTAAATCTATTTTTATAATATTTATAATTGGAAATGTCCTTTCGTTCTTTTAAAATAGAGCCCTGCATCAAGTAGCTGTAATGGGTCCCTGTTGGAATTTTCCGTTGCTCAAAAGGTACACGTGTTTATGAAAACATTTCGATCTGCTCGGCGTTTATCCAATTAGCGTGTGACATGCTGTCATATTTTTTCGAATTGCTCGGGATTTATCATAACATACAATGAATAAAAACGAAAGTAAATGTCCGATAAAAATATTGAATAGAAGCATGTTTTCGGCTTCTTTTTGATAGCTGAGGGAAAGTTATGATGATAACAAGACTCAGCTAGTGGTTTTAGGAAGCGTCCATTGAACGCACGGGCGTGCTTGCGTACCTTAACGAGAACATTGCTATAGAACGATAAACACGGGGTTTCGTCAAAAACGAAATCAGTTGGAAAAAGTGAAAGGCCAAATCAATTATGACATGATATGTAGTTGGAAAGCATCGGAAACCAAAAGTTCTGATAAGGGACAACTTAACCCAGATATATGTAAATTGAATTAAACAAAAACAGTTTATATATTATTTTTTTCACTTAAGTTGATAAATGAATACACATATCCTTTTTTTACGTCAAATTATGCATCTTGACACTTTCTTTGTTTTGGTCTAATTGTTCTGGATGCTTAAGATAGTTGTCTTATTGGCAAGTGCAGTATAACATTGTCATTTATTTACTTGATGTTGCAGAATTATTTGTAAATTTGTAAAATGTGGTCTCCATCATTAAACCACCCTATAAATCTCAAGGTTTAGGGGTATATCTTAAATCTGGGTACTACTTTTTATTTTTTATTAAAAAGTATATCTGGCAAATAGGTGAAAGGACTTGCAAAACTTTCTTACAACACCTAAATTTCACATATATTACATAAAAATCTAAACACTTAGTAACACCTACCCCAACTATAAACTGTAGGGTGATCATATGGGATCTAGAAAGGCAGTTAGTTACTGTCCAACTAGTGACACCAGCTGCAGTTTACATAAGTTTTGAGAAAATACAAAACTGACAGAACGTTTAAAACGGGACACAAATTAAACGTACAATTGCTCGTCAGTGAATAAACCAAATAAAACAGCTAAGCACATATACAAAGAAAGAAACACATTTAAGATGGAAACACATCTGGGGTTGATATAATGTGATTATAACATGCCTAAATATTCAATATTGTGTTGATGAAAAAACCCAATACATTAAGGAGCTTGGTGGTGAAAAACCCAATTTGATATTTGCTTGAGGGGTGAATTGGAATTGATAATGCAATTAAAAAACTTTATCACCCAATTACATAAAAAAATGGTGGGTAAAAACCCCAATTTGTGAATTCTTATCTGGAGCTCTGGATGTCTTTTTGAAGTTGATACAAGTCTTGATTTGTATGTTTTAATCAAAATGTGCCAGAGACAAGCAGATCAAGGATTTAAAAGAGTGAGACCTATACAAATCCTTGAGCAGATCACTGCCTGATGTAACCATATTAAAATTTTTGATCTTTCCTACCTTTTTGGAAAATAAGTATATAGAGGGGAAGCACACATAAACCAGAAAACCACTGTTATTTTAAGATTTTAAGGATAACAGTAGTAACATAATAAATAGTCAAATAAGTTCAAATGTTCCAGATTTTTAATTTCGACCCCCAAAAAAAAACATGAAAAAGGGGGGAGGGTCCATACCCCAAAGACCCAGTGCATTTTTCATTCACATGTTCCATTTTAAGTATAAAATGTGGATAAAACAAATAAAAACTATTAAAAATTGAGACATAGGTACTCATATGGGGGGGTTGTCCGAGCAAAACCAGTTGAAATAATTTCAATTAAAGGAGGTATGGTCTATGGAGGTTGATAGTTGAAGTACAAGGAAGTTATCAGGAATACAAAATGTGGATGGATTGTTAATTATACAGTTATTTGTTATTTCAGCTAAATGAAAAACATACTACTTGCAACAAAACTAGATCTTGCTTTACTATTGGAATGAATGCAAAAAATATACAGATATTATTCAGAAATTTTTTCTGTTTTGATGACATGGTTCTGGTTATCTCCCTTCAACGAAACATTCTAAGATAAGGTTGGCAAATCCGTGCTAAGTGACAAACAACCAAACGAAAACACTCACAAACAGTGGAAAAAAAAAAACAAATAATGAAAAAAAAATATTTAAAAACACAAATATTTAAAAAAAGAAAAGAAAAGAAAGAAGAAGAAAAAAAAACTTTGTCAACAACAATAAGGCAAATAAGAATAGGCATACTTTTTTCTATCTGGTCAAAATGTATTGTAGGGAGATTTTTTTTGCTCCATTATTTATAAGGGTTTTTAGTCAAGTTAAATAAAAATCAAAAGAGAATATTTTTGTTCTGCATATTTTATTTTTAAATTGGAAAAGTATAGTTGAAATGTTTTACAATATTTAGTGTTTGATAATGTCATATCCTGTTGTAAGTAGCATCACAGCATCTCATTGCGTGAACCCTGAGGGTTCACGCATATTTATTAGTTACAAATATAGTCTATGGAGGAATATTCGGAAGCTAAATTATTGTTCATTCGGAACACCTATCCATCTTATCTGTATTAGCTTCCTGCAATTAAGAGCACCTCCATACGGTGTATCTAAGATATTTAAAACATGGCAATAAAGAATTTTCACAGATCGCTAATTCACATATCTGATAAATGATAATAAACAATCTATAGATCCTTTTCAAACATGTATATTTATTGTAAAGCTACATTTTATGCATTGCAAGGGTTTACTGACTTGAGCAAAGTTGGCAGTTGTACCCTTTGATAAACAAGTGAAAGTTAAATGGTCAAGATTTAATTATAACGACCTATGGTCAAAATGATGGTATCAAACATCTGTGTCTAGATATTCACAGAGAGATATTTTAAAATAGTGCTGTGGTTTCTACATAATGAGCTATAGTGGGCTTTGGGATTTGATTTGTAACAATAAAATCATTATGCACACTTGTCATTTTGACAAATCAGATAAAAAAAATCTGTTTCAAATGAAAATAAAACAATTAAAATAAAGACTGTTCGTTAATATACATTTTTACAACTTTTACTGATTCCTTTTTACAGTATTCTCTATCAATTAAGTTATCTTGTAAGTTAATTAAATGTTAATTTAATTCATTGATGTCACTATTATTTCAGTGACCGCTGCAGAAAGTCTTGACTTGTTCAAGAGACTACTGCATGCACATTAAATTTCAAGTCCCATGTTTTTATTTGCACCATGTATATAAATGTTATGTACAGCACAAATTATTTCCTTTCTGTTAAAATTATTTTTTGGACTTGTTAAGTATATAAGCGCACATTAAACAGTGACAGGATAGTCAACCAAATGACGGTGGTCACTGGCTTAGTGGTAGAAGTAGAAATTTCTTATATTATTCACACACTGTAATGCTCTTAAATTTATGTGTGTTTTGGATGTGCACTAGTGATTGGTAAATATTGATACGTTTCTGTGATTTTAATATATGTGACTTAACATCAAGAATTCCATTATTATGGAATCGTTCACTTTTGTACACTTCGGTATCTAAATAGAGGGTGGTAAAAGGGAGGGTCTGAACACGGAAACACATGAAATAACAAATTGCAAAAACGTTACACGGAAAAAAACACTCTGGAAAAACGAAGCCAAGGAATAAAATTGTAAATATTAAGGAAAAAAGTACCAAAAGTTATTACTCAGCCGTTCTTGGAGAGCATGCAGTCATAATAAATGGACATGGTGACCCTGCATGTGGTCACCTTTTAGCTTCCGTTAGTTGCATCCGATTTATCATAGTTATACAATAGGCTATTAATAAATATCTTGGGACCAGTTAATAAGTTTATAATTTAAAACAATATTTAATCAAATGTGGGACAAGCACGAGAAAATAAGAGTACCGACACGAAACACGGAAAATGATTAAGGGAAAACACGAAGCACGCACATCGAACCAAACACGTCGAGAAAACGAGAAATAAAACGTTGAAACACGGAAACACGTGAAATAAAAAGACAGAAAACAATGACGAAAATAACCCTTTACCACCCTCTAAATAGGCCATTCTAGATGTCGACACCTCATATTAGAGCTTAAGTAGATAGTCAATTTCGTTTGCAAGGTTAAAGAAATCTTCAACTTGCTCTTATTTGCCTGTGAAGACCATAAAACCGTCATCCCTATTGACAGTGTAATTTGTTGTTTTCTCTCCATTGGAACTTATCTAAGATTTTAATGAATAGGGCAGACAGATGCAGATCTGTGCATGTTGGTGACAATGGGCGCTCCTATAATGTGTTTGTATAACAGTCCATTAAACTCAAATTCATTGTTTCTAAGAATTAATTTAACAAATGCAGTTAAATCTATTTTGTTGAGAATCTTTACAGTATACTCTCCTGTGTGTCAAAAGATTCTAATGCATTGATAACAGTTTCTTCTTAATTGTCAATGATCATATTTGTGTACATTGACGTACATCATAGGCAATAAGAATGCATATTTATTTACCTCGTGTGACTCTATTTTTATTAATGAAATTTTTTGTATCTTGAATGTAAAAGTTATGCCTCTTCAATAATTGGATGTTGGATGTACTAATTGATAATTTAGTCTTAGATGGATGTTTTTTTTTTAATTAGTTGTTAGTGGCTATGAACTATAGCTGTCAGTAACTGCGAGTACTCTCAGATCTGTACTTAGTGTCTATTTGTTGTTGGGATATACAAGTTCCTGACCACGTCCACTCTGTGTAGTATTTCTGTTTGTATCCATCTAATGAGTTAAGCCTTTTTCAACCGATTTTATAGTTCGTTCTTTTGTTGTACTGTTACACCACTGTCCCAGGTTAGGGGAAGGTTGGGATCCCGCTAACATGTTTAACCCCGCCACATTCTGTATGTTTGTGCCTGTCCCAAGTCAGGATCCTTGAATTCAGTGGTTGTCGTTTGTTGATGTGTTACATATTTGTTTTTCGTTCATTTTTTGTACATAAATTAGACCGTTAGTTTTCTCGTTTGAATTGTTTTACATTTGTCATTTCGGGGTCTTTTATAGCTGACTATGCGGTATTGGCTTTGCTCATTGTTGAAGGCCGTACGGTGACATATAGTTGTTAATTTCTGTGTCATTTGGTCTCTTGTGGAGAGTTGTCTCATAAGCAATCATACCACATCTTCTTTTTTATATTTATAATTAGACCAAGTAAGTATCTATCGCGGGAGAGTTACACTTATTGATGATTGGTCGGTAACGAACATTAATGTGTCCTGCTAGCTGACCAGTTCGCAATGCCTCATTACTTATTTCTAGATTAATTTTATGATGATTTTGGAAGAAGGTACATGTGTCCTCCATGTTTTGAATTATTATTATTCTTTAAGAAATTATACGTCTGGGAATCTTTTTTTTTTCTCTCCTTGCTTTATATTTAACACTTCTCTCAACATTCTAAAATTGTAATGATTTACAATAAAAAGAAAATATATATCCTCCACACACATGGCCAAGATAACACTGATATATAATTTCTTATTCAGTTGAATTAATAATTGGAATTAAAAAGTTCTAATGTTCACGTATTGTCTTTTTTTTTTAAAAAGCAACTTGTTCTATAAGATTTTCTGAACTAGCCTGGCCCTGAGCCTAGCCATGTCAAGGATTGGTATAGTAAAATCACTAATATATACACACGACAGTGACTTTGTAGTTGGTCATCTTGGATTTCAATTTAATCAATGAACAAAAGTATAACTAGTAAATTACTAATTCTGGGATCTCGATTCCCACAAATTATTCGAACCTCTTCTAAATTCGTATGTATATATATAGATCTTAATTCCATAGAAACAATTTAAGTTTGGAAGTTTGGATGTATACCCGGCATGTCAACTTATAGGCGCTAAATTTGAATAACATTCTCAAATTCTTAAAAGTTATTGTACTCTGGGGGCGGCGGCCATACAGTAGTAAGATCTTTGACCATGGTATTGTCTTTGATCGGTATTTACACGTTTTTAATTCCAAAAGTTAGATGTGGCTAAAATTATACATTACTGAACACTTATGTTTAAATATCCTCATGACCTTGGTGGTAGTTTTAAAATTAAGTAACTATAACCAAATTCATTTTATTTAAAGTCGGCATGTATGTACACAATAACTGTTACAAAGAAGACATGAGTTCCGGTGAGCTCTTTCACAGACTATAAATTGTTATCACACAAGGCCATATTTTTCTCAAACTGCTTATAACGTCTTAATACTAAACCCGTCAAAGAAACGATTTTCATTTGTCTACTAGGCAAACATGTCTATTTATTAGTTCAGTCACATTAAGATTAACATATCTTTCCGGCAGTAACTGATAGTTTTCTTAGATCGATATTTTGTGTCTTTTGGGTCTCTTGTCATTTTAATAGCTCATTCGTTGCACGGGGAATTTCATACATAAGAGATGTTAAACAGACATTCATAAGCCTGAGTCAATACAATATTTAAGCACATACACATATATTGTGTGTATACACGATTCTTTTGAGGCGCTGATTCAGCCAAAATTATCAGATTCAATGAGCTCCTGGAAAATTTCAAGACCTCCGTAATTCGAATTCAGGAAATCCATAGATCATTTCAGGACCTCCACAAATAATCGGTCGTTGTTGCTTAATTTTATGATATCGCTAATACTTATGGAGCTCCATAATTGTATATTGTAGGACCTCCACAGTTATTCCAGGGCCTCAAGAATTCGATTTCAAAATACATTGTATACTTAAATCAAAAAGCGGAGGTCTTGAAATAATTGTGGACTTCCATAAATACTTAAGGGTAAGACATTCCGTTGTCAGTGTCGTCAAAGTTTAGGTTCACTTAGAGTCTGTGGTTAAAATTTTATAAGCATCAATCATTTTTGCCAATCCTTCATGGAATTTTACGAAACTTTGAAAGAAGCTACTTTATTATGAAAATGCAGTATCCAGAGGCAAATTTTGAAAATCAAGTTTTGTTTTTTGTTGTTGCAGTTA